GGTATTCCTATTAGGTATAATTTATTGTGTTTAATAGTGGCTCCATTCTGAAGTGGTGGTTCTGAGGCTCTACTAATTTTTCTTCAGTCTTTTTTCTCTCTGTTCTTCAGATTGCATAATATCTATCAGTCTACTTTCAAATTTAATTCTACCAGTTGAATTCTACCCTTAATCTCCTCTCTATTGGATTTTTCATTTTGGCTACTGTTCAGATCAACTACAGAATTTCTATTTGCTTCTTCTTTACAATTTCTGTATCCTTGTAAATATTCTCTATTTGCTGAAACATCATCATCATCATCATTTTCTTTGTCTTTTAGCATGATTTCCTTTAGCTATTTGAACATGTTTATAATGGCCTTGAAATCTTTATCAAATCCAATACTGAAACCACTCAAAAGCAGTTCCTGTTGCCCTCCACACACACTTTAAATGGGTCACATTTTCTAGTTTCTTTGTATGTCTTTTTTTTTTTTATTGAAAACTATATCTTTTTTGCCAAGTGGGGTGATTCAGGAAGCTGAAACAGGAGATCACAAGTTTGAGGTCACCCTGGGTTACTGAGACACTATCTCAAAAACAGAAAAAAAAAAAAAAGTATATGGTGAGGGGTGATGTAGCTCAGAGGTAGAGCACCATTGGATTCAATCCCAAGTTAAAAAAAAAAACTACAAATTTTGGGTAATATATTGTGACAACTCTGAATAATGAGTCCTACTCCCTTCTCTGGAGGGCTTGATTCATTAGTTTCCTATCTCTAATGGAGCCACTGCCCTTCATTTCCTGATGTTCAATATCTTGAAAACCATATCTTCATATATTTTGTGTAGTTTTTATATTGTTTCAGAGAGAGGTGTATCCAATTCATATTTCTGCAATTCAACTGGAACAGAGGTCTTATTTAATGATTTGACATATTGATTTTGTTTTTTTCTGGTTTTCAGTTATCTCAAATTCTTGGGCTACTAAGATCTACAATAATTAATCCTTTTACAATATTCTGACAATTTTCCCCTTTGAAAGCTCCAAATGACCTGAATGATGCAAGTCTTTTGCTAAAGTAGTGTCCAGGTAATTGCCAGCCCAGATCTAATTTCTCAGCTTAGACATTTCTATATCAAGTGAATAGGGTGATTTTAGATTCCATATGTGTGAAAGACACCTTGGGGTTTTGACTTCTAGTGGAAATCACATAGAACCCTGGGTAAAAACAAGTTTCTCGGGGCTGGAATTGTGGCTCAGTGACTTGAGTGCCTGCCTTGTACATGTGAGGCCCTGGGTTCAATCCTTAGCATCACATAAAAAAAAAAAGAAAAAGAAAAAATAAAAATAATGCCCTCATTTGCTATTCCCCCTTTCAAGACTTAAACCTTTCTTATAAAAAAGTTTCTCTTTGTACTTTATCTGAGTCAACAATAAAAATATTCTATTTTTTTTTTAATCAAGGTTAAAAAGCCCTTCTAGGGTTCTGGCTTATGAAGACGTTTAGTACTTAATCCTGCCTTGAACAGATTCAATACTGCACCTCTTCTTACTCAAGTAGTAAAATCCAAGTTTACAAAAACTTAGATAAATTATGAATTTGAAAACATTTCCAGGACTACTATAAAGAGTTTTAGCTTATTGGTCACTTTGGCTCATGGAGACTTCTTTTCCTTTCCATGGGTTCACCTAGGCATTAAATTGCTCATATTTAAATTCAATGTTAAGTACAACAGAAGGAATTGCATGGAAAATTTATCATATTTGGGGACCATAAATTTCCTTCTCCCATAAAAATTCAGGTAAAAATTTATATATGTATGTGTATGTCCATTATTACAGGGAGAGTCTAAAATTTCAATCAAATTCTTAGATGAGTCTGTGACCTAAACAAAGGTTAAAGATAATTGTTTTTCACCTTGTGTACCTTTTGCCTAAAATTTTACAATTAGGGTGCTATCTATTCCTACAAATTCAGGAATTCTTTGACCCATCTTCTCTATCACATTTACATATCTGAGTATATTTTCTATATATTTCAAGTTAACAGCTCCCCATTTGTCTTTTGTATCTTTCAATATCTCTAATTTCAATAGGTTTGTAACACTTTTTTTTTTCTCAGTAATCAATAGAATCAGAATTCTACATGTCTCTCTTGAATATGAAAATAAAAATGCACTGCAAGGGCTGGGACTATGGCTCAGTGGTAGAGTGCTTGCCTCACTCGTGTGGGGCCCTGGGTTTGATCCTCAGCACCTCATAAAAGTAAATAAAAAGGTATTGTGTCCATTTACAACTAAAAATATTTTTTTAAATGTGCTATAAGAGGAGGAAAAAGGAGGGGTAGAGAGAAAAGAAGAACTATTCTACAGAATCAAATTAGTATACAGAAAAAGAGGGTTCAAAAGGCACAGAATGAAGATGGTTAAGATTTAAAGGCATAATGATATTAGCCCTCAGAGAGGGATCAGCACGTCTGAGTGTTCATCTGTTTTACAAAATAACTCCTTGATTATACCACCTAACCTACTTGATTTTTATTCTAGATACACAGGGGGGAAATAGCAGTTCAGCAAAAATATTAAAATAATATATAAAATACATATATACACCCAAAAATCTTTATATCTACGTCTCAAATATCCATTATAATTATGGTGTTCAAATAGTTGAATAATTCCACACATAAATAGATTAAGGAAGAATTATTCTTTGTAGAAGACTTCATTGTCAATTCAGAAAAAAGAAAACAGAGAGAATCAATTTTGTCATTTACTCATACTACATTTTACCAAAATATACTAGCTAGGCAAGCATAAATAATTAGATTATCCATTTCCTGGTGAAAATTGTCAGACTCAGATGAAAGTCAGAAAAGTACTTTAAAAGTATTTTAAGTAATAATTTATAAGACTTGCCTTCTGTTTTGGAAAGCTATTTGACATCTGATCAATTTATTTATTAGATAAATGGGAGTATTAAACCCAAGTCACATGATTGTTGTGAGAATTACACATAAAAATGTCCGTCTCTCAAAACACCGAAAAAGGAAGAAAAATACAGTGAACAAAAAACAATAGCAGCTAGAGTAAGACTGTAGGACTTTCTGATTCATTTTCTACTTTCCTGTGAATAAACTGTCCAAGACTTTCCTCTATTAGAAAATGAATTATGTAACAAATAGAATTTCTGCAACTTTAGATATGGCCCCTCAAGGTTCTAATTGAGGCCAAGTATCCCCAAATCTACTCATTTATTAAATTCCATTATGTTCCTAATACTTTTCTTTTATCTAGGAAACATTTAAAACAGTTTCTCTTCTTCTCCCATTTAATTTGTTGTTGTTGGTGGTGGTGCTATTTTGTTTTGTAGTTATGGAGATCAAACCTCAGAGATACAACCCACCCGCAACCCTCCTATAGGAAACATTTCATAAAATTCTCCAAAAGTCCTATAAAAATCCCAGATCCTGGCAGATAGCAAGGAGAAAAGATTATCAATTCCTGACTTTAGTAGTCTCTTGATATTTGATCCCTTGAACTAAAATACTCCTGTAAGTTCCTAAAAGATAAAAAGAGTATATACGAGGGGGGGAAAAAAGCAAAGTTCAGATAGCAAAAATCTCCTTTCTCCTATTCTAATCCCCTTTAGTTCCACTTTCTTCCAGTTCTGACCTAAGTATTTGAAAGCAAGAAATCCTATTATGAATTGAAGCAATACAATATATCCTCAAAAGCTGTTTCTTTTGAGAAGTGAGTATACCCAAGTGGGGAGTAGCTTTGCTTTCTAATAACAATATATGATTAATGTTAAATGTCTAACACTCCAATGTCAACAAAATATATCTCTGACCAAGCATGGTGGCACATACCTATAATCCCAGCATCTGGGGAAGCTGAGGCAGGCAGATCACAAGTTCTAAGCCAGCCTCAGTAACTTCACAAGATCCTAAGCAACTTAATGAGACCCTTGTCAAAATAAAAATAAAAAGGACTAAGGATGTGGCGTAGTGGTTAAGCACTCCCTGGGTTCAATACCTGATTTAAAAAAAGAAAATCTCTATCCATATAACAGCAATTAAAAAACAGAGGTTGTTACCAGTCTATCAGGATACTTTTAAGGACATTAAATTCTATCACTCCAAAAATAAAAAGTTATATATTTGTTTCCCCTAGACATTTCCCTATGAAAATCAATTCCTTCATTGTTAAATTACATGGGAAATTTTCTGGTTTGATAAAAAGGCACTGAGAAGAAAAGTAACTTTGACCTACTCATTTAAAATTTCTTAGATGGAAAGCTTTCCTCTTTACCTTGCTATTCAAAATGTGGTTCACAAACCAGCAGAACTGGCATCATTTGGGAACTTATTAGAAATGCAGAATATCACTGAGTGCAGTGGCACATGCTCATAGTTCTAGCTACTTTGGAGACTGAGGTTTATAGGTTCAAGGTCAGCTTCAGTAACTTAATGAGACCCTGTTTCAAACTCACTTTTAAAAATAAAAAGGGCTGGAGATACAGCTCAGTGATAGAGTTCCTGGGTTCAATCCCCAATGCCACAATAATAAATAAATAAATAAATACAGACTATCAAGCATACTATACTCCAGCAGGATACTACTATATCCCAGATCTAATAAATCAGGATCAGCATTTTAAGAAGATGCCCATAATTTACGCACACATTAAAATTTAGAAAGCATACAGTAAGGAGATCTTAAGGTCCTTACAGTTGTTTCCTATGAAAAAAATCATCTGACAATATTGAAGCCTATATTTTCATGTGAAAAGACCTGGACAGGGCTGAGTAAGAGCTATTCTGTTAGGCAAGCCATGCACTCTTTCTAGCTCCCCCAAGCCTCACCTGCAATCCCCATCCATTTGTGAAAATTGCTTGGCTCCTATTCAGTCTCTAAACTGAGGAAGTTCCCTTTTTAATAAAAAAGATATGCCTTCAGAAGAATAATTCATTAGCTACATTTTTAAGTGAAAGGAAAAAAAAACTGTTCATTTACCTTGATGGGAAGTAGTGAGGTCCAGGTAGGAAGTAAGGGTGATGGAAAGAGAATTGTGGAGGTGTCCCAAACAGTGTGGCTGGATGGCCAAGGGGAGGAGGCTGGTAGACATGTGAGTGTGGAAGGGGAGGAGCCTGGGGGATTGGAGCACTTCTGGGACAAGTGGAAACGCTGGAATACTCCTTGGGAGGTTGGATGGTTGAGGTTGCAAATCTGGCATGGGCTGTACTTGCACTAGTTGGAATCCTGCTGGTGCTCTCCAGAGAGACAGGAGTAGGTCTCTTCACAGAGCGATTGGCTCCGGAAGGTAGCCGATGAGTGTCAGTTTGGGAAGGCCCAGCAAAGCGTTGAGGTGGGAGTGCTGGGCGGAGTGGCAGACTTGGAGCCTGGACGGCTACCTGGGCAGTACTGGAGACGCTGGGCTGGAAAAGTGTGATGGGGCTTGGGCGCTGGACTGCAGGTGTGGGCAGTTGGATGGCAGGTGGGGCTTCACCTTTAGAAATAAAAAGAGCATAGGTCAAGCATTAATTGGATCATGACATGTTTTTCCTTTTCCAGTAAAATTAAATGAATTGTTAAGAGGCCTTCATAATTACCTTACCTAACAGCATTATCATACCAAACCACTATATTTCATTTATAGCATTTTGAACAAACTGAAAGACACCATAATTTGTTTATTCATATTTCCAAAAAAATCTATTTCCCAAACTCAAAGCCCCCAAAAAAGAGAGACTTTTTCTGTTTTGTTCATTACTGCACTCTGAGGCAGAGTTCTGCAAGGCACAGATTAAGTCCCCAACAAATTGTTTTGGATGAATAAATAAATTGATAAAACTACTTATTCATAAGTTGAAAGCAGGAATATATACAAATGCTGGTAGGCATATATAATTTTTTCTAACAAATAATATAACTATCTGAAAGGTCATCTAGGAAAGGGAACAGGGCAGTTGAACAGTAGGAAAAGCTAGACTTTGATTTGGTATTATGTGAATTTTATAATTGAAATATATTAATTTTATTTTTAATATTAATAGAGTTTCAGAGTAGTAGTATGGGTCATTTTTCTTTTATATACTTCTGTATATTAAACTAAATTATAAATGACAATTTTGTTGGAAAAAAGTTAAGTGATAAACAACATTGTTTCACTTCATTGCATTCAACATGAATCCATAAGGAAATTTCCCAACAAAGTAAACTTAGCAAAGATCAACCATTTGTGACATATATTAAAGGAAATGCTATTTAGAGCAGGGCACAATGGGGATTATGGCAGAATTTTTAAAGTCAGGTAAACCAATTTTGAATTTTATCTTTCTGTTCCTGAAGACAGGATGCTGATTGATTTGCCTTTTATCCAAATGACATACCTATCCTTAATGTAACTAAATATTCCTAATGAAATACTGACAGAAGTCATAGAAATAGAGTAATACACAGTATATTCCAATGCAGCTAGCTGTCTGCATTGGAAAGAAAAAAAAGTGCAGTTCAAGAACAGACTGAAGTTAGGAATGTCTCTGTCAAGACCAAAAAATTATAGATCAGTCTTTCAACCATATCCAGATAACACCACCCCTTCTTTATTTCAGTTAATGCAGATAATTCCTCTCCTCATCCTGGAAATAGGGAATGAAGGGACACATGCATCTGTTTCAAGATGGCATCTGACCCAGTGAAGTAACAATAAAGTATGAATGAAGCTATCCTGATGCTCAGTTGATGAGGTAGCATGGATTAGTCCTCTCACCTGTGAGGCACAGGCTTTCGTCAGGCCTTTCCTGGTTTATCAAGCACAATTTCTTTCCTAATCCCCATTGTGCCCTGCTATAAATACCATTCCTCAAAACCTTACAAATCTATAACTATCACAAAACAGTGTAAATATTTTTATGTCCACCACCCCTACCACAATCACCAAGCTGGGCACTTGAGAGTGTATCCTCAGAATCTGGTTAATTAAAAAAAAAAAAAARAAGAAGAAGGATTGGAGTGGATAAAAGAAGAAACTAACAAATCAGCCTAAAGATATAAACCTCCTCTGAAGTCGGGCTCTAACTTTCAAAATCTCTCAAGATTTTATAAATTGCATTATTTTTGTGCTCAAAACATTTACCAAAAATCTACCTCTGGTGCAGATTTCTTTTTCCTATAACCAGTACAAAAAGCTCTTAGTTTTCCGTAAAGAAGTAAACAAAAAGTAAATTATAAGAGCTGTACAGAACTATCAATAAAGTTTCAGTCACTGAGGAAGGGAGGGTTGTGTCTTTTACCAAATGTTCTTTTCTATCAAAAGTATTTATATAAAAGAAGAGGTGAAAATGAGGCATGGCACTATAATTATGCATTCATTTGATTCAAGTATTCATTAAGCAACTAAAATGTTCCAGGCACTTTTTGCTCTATGGTCATAAATTAGGTAGATAAGGAGTTATATGAAAGCATAGCATCATGTCAAAATTCAAGTCACATGAGTTCATGCATGCCTTTAATCCAAGAGACGTGGGAGGCTGAGACAGAAGGACTGCAAATTCAAGGTCAGCCTCAGGAACTTAGTGAGGCCCTAAGCAACTTAGCCTGACCCTGTCTCAAAATAAAAAATAAAAAGAGCTGGGATGTGACTCAGTGGTTAATTACCCCTGGGTTCAATCATTGATATTCCACCCACCAAAATCAAGGATGTTAAATAGGAGATTAAAGTCTGCAACATACAGTCACCACTGTTAAAACTGCCAATGAACAAGGAAGGTTTGTGAAAAAGACAGACCTCTAACCTATCAAACAACTATATATAGTAGAAATTAGCCAGTCAGAAACTAGTCAGTGCCTTGTTTACTCTTCTTCTAGRTTATATTTGCCAGCCTCCCTTGCAGTTAAGAGTGCCATGTAGATAAGGGCTACCTGGTAGAATGTAAACAGAAGCTATGTCCATCTCTTCTAGGACTGGCCCATGAAAGACTCTCACTCATGACCATCCATGTTCTTTTCCCTTCTGCAGGTCCAGGCACAACAGTASAGAGGCCTTAGATGCCATATATTAAAGATGGCAGAACCACAAATCAGGATCAGCTTGTCTATAAATTACCTTTTGGAAGAGAGCCACTTACCAATCAAAAATACCCCTTTTGGACTTTATATGCATAAAAAAATAAGCTTTGTGTTTAAACTGTTTTAAGAGCAAAAACCTATTGCACATGTTCAATGAAAGAAAGGTACAATCAATTTTTTGCTGTATGATTGGGATGAACAGTGAAGCAACAGAGTCGTGGCAGAAACTGACAGACCAATTTTTTTCTATAAGAGGTAATAATAAGAAGAGAACATGTATGGCATGTAGYTGGGGACAGACAGATGGGAAATGGAGAACTGAGAATAGTTAGACAATGCTAAGAAAAGTAGAGCTTAGGAAAAGACAAAGGTAATAAGGAGCAAAAGAAGACTTTGCAGATGACACACACCTGTAATCCCAGTGGCTCAGGAGGCTGAGACAGGAGGATTACAAATTCAAAGCCAGCCTCAGTAATTTAACAAGGTCCTAAACAACTCAGGGAGACCCCGTCTCTAAATAAAATATATAAAAGGGCTAGAGATGTGGCTTAGTGGTTAAATCTTCCTGGGCTCAATCCCTGGAACCAAAAAAAAATAGAAGACAACCAAGTGATTCCTCCTTCCCCACTTTACAAGAAAACTTACAAGAATTACATCACTTTTCAAGGAATGTTTTCGATACATTTGAGTTTCTTATGGACATAAAACTTTTCTGGAATGGATCTTAAGGCCTTGACAAGGACAAGTAGACCATCTTTTAAAAAAATGATATCAGAATTTTAACAATTATATCAGAATACAATTATATGATAATATAATCCTAACAGCATCAGAATCATGAAAATTTGTTTTCTTTTGTTCTGTTTTGTTTAAGCAAGAAATAGGTAAGCTAAAAATTCCATGCATTTACTATGAAAATATTAAATATTAGAAGTAGTAAACTTCTAAATTAAAAAGTTAGAGAAAACATATGAAAAATTTAGAGAAAACATTTTCTGAAGAGGAAAATGTCAACTAAGATTTAGTACAGGGGCTGGGGATGTGGCTCAAGCAGTAGCATGCTCGCCTGGTATGTGTGCAGCCCGGGTTCGATCCTCAGCACCACATACATAGAAAGATGTTGTGTCAAAGAAAGATGTTGTGTCTGCCGAAAACTAAAAAATAATATTAAAATTTCTCTCTCTCTCTCTCTCTCTCTCTCAAAAAAAAAAAGATTTAGTACAGAAAACCAATTTCAGGCTTGACAAATGAAATGCAGAAGACACAATAATATAATAAGAAAATTCATACAAGTGCAAAGTGACATTTAAAAATAAACTAAAATATGGTTTCTAAGAAGTTCTAAATCCTTTAACTACATTTGAATACTAATACTAATATAAAATGAAGATGCTGGCATAACTAGCAAAGACATTTGATAAAATACACCCACAGAGAATTCTGGACTATCATGCTATAAAGCACTTTCAGTTATTAAAAACAGGAAAAGATCTTGGAATATAGCATTAAATGTGAGAGGCAGAGAAAATAATGCCTTGGATTTAAAAATAATACCAGACAAGAAAGTTACTATAAATTGTATCAAAGATATAGTAAAATTAGTTTAATTTGTATCTACCTTTTCCACAACTACCTCATGAACACTTTGATTCCACAGAAACTATAAAAATCATCTTTATATTTTGTTCAAAACACAGATCTACAATAGTTACTTAATAAATATAAGGCAGCAGAAAGGACAGATAGGCAGGCAAACAAATATGGTTTTAGAATTTATTCAGAAAACATCTGAGATAGCAAAATTCACCAAAATAGGGAGAATATCAAATTACACTTCCAATCTTCAAATAGATTGAAGAGCCAAAAGGGATAAAAATATGCTAGGAAGACCTGCACAAATTATTGCTTATTAGAACAGGGTTAGTAGAATACACAATAAAATGTAATAAGCTTGATTAGGTGTCAATAATAGAGAAAGATACTAAAAAGCCAATGAATTCAGTGGGTTAAATATGGTGCAGTAGTAATCATAGCATTTCTAAATTCAAATTCCTCAGTAATAAGAAAAAAAATTCACCCTGGGATTATTTCCTTTTGGAACTCAAATGTTCAATAAGGTGAGAAGACTGATAAGGCTAACTAAAACGAAAGGTTAAAGAAAGTTGAGGGTTATTTTATATGATAAATGCTAAAAACACAGAAGAAAAAAATATGTACTCCCAGATCAGCAGCTGCCATGACTAACTGTCCAAAATCAAATCGATCCCATTAAAAGCTTGTCCTAATGTGCAAAACAAATAAATTCAAATATTGTAAGTTATATTCAAATAAAAATTAGCACTAAGGAAAGCTTAAGTAACCAGGTCTGAGAGATCTCAAAGTCAATATGAATTGACTTTCTAAATATTTTAACAGAAAGAAGAAAATCAATGGAATCATTTAGTCATTATAATACAAAAGACGAGAGAGACTCAATAAACTCCTTCCTACTGAAGACCTTACAAAGATTTCTAAATCCTAATTAACTTTGACAGCAGCTAGTTGAAGAATATTAGGTTAACTACAGTAAGATGGCAAGTTCACAAAATGTTTTAATCCAAGAGAACAGAATGAATAAAAATAATCTTAGGTAGTAATCATCTAAGAATTATAGTAAAATTTAAAGGCAAAACTGATAAAATATTAGATAAAGTGAATACAAAATGGCCTCTTCCAAAAGCATTTTTGGAAAGTCAACAAAACTTCTGGCTATTGAAAATGCTGGCCTTGAGTACTCTAGCTTGGTAAGTCTATTTTCTACACCCAAAACCTGATCAAATCAATACACTATCAAGTTAGAATACAAAACTTGCTAAAAAAAAAAATAGAATATAAATTGTTTTTTTAAGAGAAGAGTCACACTACTCTGAATCTCTCTTCCATGGAAATAAAACAAATGTGCTTAAAAAATGAAATTTCCATGACTTTATATTTAGAATATAAAAGTAGTTGAAAGAAACAACAAAAGAGGGAGGTATAAAAATTATCATCTGTAGATGACGAGAAAGTAAAACTGATTCCTCAAAAGATCTGTGCTACAATTTGTTATTAACAGTTTTACAAATTACTTAGAATTTGAAATATTTCAGTGAAATTTGCAAGTTATACTAACTCCTCTAAGTAATATAACACGCTGATGAGAACAGCTTTCAGATAACATATTTAAAATCTGTATGATTAGACAGCATAGTAGCATATAAATATTTATTATTAAGATAGGTATCTGGGAAAATAATTCTCAAACTATGTTTATAAAATAAAATTCTCTAATTGTTATTTGAGATCCAAGAATGGAATATTTACTGATATTAGTTCCCACCATAAAAAAGGCTATTGTTAAAAATAAATCATTACCTTGTCTTTGGTTATTATTGTGTATGATTATAAATTTCTTCCTATAATTCTGTCTACCAATCTTATATATAACATCACAGATGAAAGAACCTGGGCAACATTAGAAGAAAACCTCCCAGTTTTCTCATAACTTTGTATGGAATAAAATTAATATAGTATATTATTAATTTCTATTGCTTCAAATAAGAACATTGATAAAAACGTTTTTTAGAAAGCATACAGTATTTAAGGAGGCTGAGGCAGGAGGATCTTGAGTTCAAAGCCAGCCTCAGCAATGACAAGATGACTAAGCAACTCAGTGAGACTCTGTCTTTAAATAAAATACAAATTGGGGCTAGGGATGTGGCTCAGGAGTTGAGTGACACTGAGTTCAATCCCTGGTACCCACCACCTCAAAAAAAAAAAAAAAGAAAGAAAGAAAGAAAGAAAACAAAAAGATAGTATTTAACAGTGGATGCAGCAGATCTAAATGAAGTCTTAGGAATAAAATGGAGAAACATGTATTATGAAAATAGAAATCACAAATAACATAGCATGCTGGGCATAGTGGCACGTTCCTATAGTCCCAGCTATATAAGAAGCTGAGGCAGGAAGATTGCAAGTCCTCAAAAATAAAAAATAAAGGGCTGGAAGTGAAATAAGCCAGACTCAGAAAGTCAATGATCATATGTTCTCACATGTGGAAACTGGAGAGAAAAAAAGGGAAAATAAGTGGGAAGATGCCATGAAAATATAAAGGAGACCAGTAGACAAAGGGGACTAGAAGGAGGGAGGAGAAAAGGGTAAACAGAGTTACTTCTGGGAATGAAACTGACCAAATCATTTTAAATGCATGTAACTTAACAAAAAAAAATCCCACTATTACATATAATTATAATGTACCAATAAAATAAATAGATAAATATCTGGGACAGTTGTAGATTGCCCAAGTTCAATCCCCAATATCACAAAAAGAAAAAAAAAAAGCATGAAAACAAAGAAAATAAAGACAGACATAAATAAGCCTATTTTAAAATACAAGATTAAAGGCAATACTACCAAACGGTAAAGAGTAAGAGTACCTGACTATGCTGGGAGGGGAAAAAGATTACAAGATTAACTTTCTGAATCTTTTTCTTGAGTGTAGGCATCTTGGATATGGCTTTATTGCTACTGATTGCTAAAATGATACAGTAAAAGAAACATTGGAAATGCTTAAAATGCTAATAAGTTAATTTCCAAGATATCTATACCTCTCATAGGGGTAGATTTGTCATCAGGAAGACGTTAACAAGTGATAGCAAACAGTCAATGGATAAAGCTCTTCCTAAGAGCTTTTTTATATGGTTATTTTACATGGTTAAAATGAGTTCAGGATGATGGATAGCCTAATACAAGTTATTAAGATACAAGGTACTCAATTTTGAGCTCCTACAATCAGTAGATAGACATGTTATAAAGAACTGATAATAGAGCCAGGCACTGTGGTACACACCTGTAATCTCAACTACTCAGGAGTCTGAGGCAGGAGGATCAAAAGTTCAAGGTCAGCCTCAGCAACTTAGTGAGACCCTGTCTCAAAATAAATAAAAAGGACTGGTGATGTAGCTCAGTAGTTGAGTACCCCTGTATTCAATCCCCAATACCACAAATAAATAAACTGATAATAGAGAATAAATTTAGAGAGAAAGAATACAATAACCCAAACAAATATTTTACAGAAAATGAATAACTTCCACTGCATTTCTAGGGCATCAAGAGAATGGTCTTTAACAGATCAGTGTTATTACTAAGTTCCAGAACAGGATGCCTCATACCCCATTAGTGAGATTTTCTTTTATGCTAAGAGTGAAAAGACACTCCTACTTCCTACTAAATTACGCCAGTCATTTCCTGCATTATCTGACTAATCTAAGGGCTCATCCTGACTTGCTTAAAAGGTGAGGTTTTACACATTTGCTACTCTGGCAAACCAAGTATTTTGTGGTCTACTGAAATTTTTCCATCTCCTATTTAATGTTCTTTTTTTTKATTCCCCTCCCTTAATATTGTTGTTCTAAATTCTAAGCCTAATATCTACACCTCTCAGAAACAAAATTTCAACTTGAGCTAAAATTTTCATGCAGCTATTTAAAAAATAGTAATCTACAATAAAACCAACTCACCAACTGGATGAGTGATGGTGTTCTGTAGGCTGGGAATTACCACAGAGTAGGTAGGTGAGCGATAAGAATAAATTGTTGTAGGATTTGTAGAGATAATATTCTGTGTGGTACCAGAAAATACATTGGAAACACTTAGAGGGAAGCGTTTTCGCTTCCCTGGACGAGGCTGATAAACCCAACCTATAGAAGAAGATAGACTGTTTTTAATATAAAAGTACAGACTAATTAGCCTTTAAATAATTCTTTTTTGTTAAATTAGAAATGTAATATAATTCAAAGTTTTTAAAAGCATATTTTCCAGTTCTATAATAAAATTTCTGTGAATGACTCCTCCATTGTGCAAGTTAACATATATATGCACATAGCTTCTAACTAGTTGTCACTTTTGTAACCCATAGCTGAAAGTCAAATGTCTTATATATAGTGACACACTGAATTGTAGCAGAATCTACCTCAAAGCCATTGAGTTTAAATCCAAAAGCCATTCCTCTCCTATTTTTATTTTTCCTAAAGCAATGTCTCCCCATAAGACTTTATTCATTTCCTCCTGTTTCTTCCCTTTCCATAAGATAAAATTGTCTATAATAGACATTAATAACTAGTCACTATTTTTATGCTTAAAAAAGAGTCACTCTTCTAAACCTAGCAATTTCCTTCCAAAGTCAGAAGAATAACATTAGGGCAATTGTAGCTAATGCATAACTAGAAGAATCACTGATTCTCTGTAGTTACTACCTCTGATCTTCCCTCCTAAGACGCCTCGCTCATATTTTGAGGGAAAAAAACTAATTCTTTTGAATTCTGTGTAGTTATGTTAGCCATATACTGTGTAATTACTTAAGCTTAATCTCAACATCATTGCTGCTGGGAAATAATCAGATTCATTTAATTATAACATGAAGGGAATAAGTGTATCAATCAAAAGACAGGATGATGTTCTGATAACCATATAATATGGTATTAGTCCTTGCTTTTTCACTATCTTTTAAGTACATACTGTACAATTTCTGCTGCCATGATTTTAATATATCCAGTATACCCCAGAAATGTAGATATTTATTGTCATTAAATTTATGCCATTATCTATATATGTTTCTGTCTAGGTTTAATCAAAACTACAGTAAAACTGTATGTCCCCTGGTTTGCATTAGTTGGTAAATATGAGACCACTCAGATATCCCCCACTTATTTCCATTTAAGAAAACTTATGCTTTGTATATCAATCATTACTATAATAATGGTCACTATTCCCTTTCTTGCACATTATCAGATTAGGAAAAAATTACACATTTTTGTCCTTCCATCTCAACCTAATTTAGTCTGTATTTAAATAAATTTAAAATAAGTTAGAAAGAGACTTTGTTTATTTCATTTGATTACCAGGAAATTCCTCTCTGTGCTTTTCTTTAATCTTTTGTGCTTCATCATAATAAGGTTTCTTTTGTTCTTCACTAAGTTTGTTCCACTCTAACCCGAGCTGGACACTGATTTCTGCATTGTTGGCCGCTGGGTTAGCTTTGGCTAGTGCTGGCCGGTGAATTCTTGCCCAAACCATAAATGCATTCATGGGTCGCTTCACGTGACCATTTCTGTCCTTACTGAAGGGAGTATCTGGTATTCCTACATGACAAAAATTAAGAGACTAAATTAATGTGACACACATACAACCATAAAGTGAAGTGTACCTTCATCTATACTTATTAAGTATCCAAAGAAATTATACACTTCAATACAGCCAAAGAATCACTAATATTCCAGAATTCCTTATAATCCCTGAACTCAGCATTCAAAACTACAGCTTAGAAGGACTCTTTTGATGAAATAATAATGTTGAAGACACAGTAAATTGCTGGTTTATTATTCCTTTGAGCTTTATTAAAACCTCTAACAATAATTAACATTTATTTACCACTAAAAAACACTCCATCATTAGAGGAGAAAAACTATGACTTATTGAGGACTATAAGTCTACCATTAAGTAGATGTTATCTATATGTCTAAAGGAACTAATTTACATGGTGCTATAATGTCCTTTGAAGCAAAAATACTTATAATAATACTATATTAATTGTATTTCACTGTGATGGTGAAGCTCCTGTCCAACTAAACTATGTTCTACAAGATAAACAGGAAAAAATAAAAAGAGTCACAGCTTGTTCAAATAAAGAAAATTGGCTAGCTTCACATTTCTATGCAGTTCATAAAAATACTGTCTGTAAACTTCCTATATTTTTCTCTTTATTTTTCTTTACTTTATTATTAAAGTAAAGGATAGAAATGTAGTGTAAAGATAACTATTCTATTATTTCTTTTAGACAATGAAAGCAAAGTCAAAACTAGGGAAGATAAAAACAAGCAAATAAGGTGGGTAGGTGAAATCAATAAAGTAAAAACAAACAATAAACATAAAAGTGTTTAGAAAACACAATAAAAATAGAAAGTGTCCTGAAAGTTTTTAGACTAGTTACATTTAATCATTTGTTTTCTCCTAGAAAAACGTTTATTGTTCATTTTTGAAGAAGATAACCTCCAAAATGGGTATAAACACTGTTTCTTCTATTTCTTAATACTTAGTATTGACCTACTATAATAGGATATATTTAATGTTGATTTTTTGTAGCATATAAACTGAAGGCTTTGCCACTGTCTAGCAAGAATATTTCTATTTTTCTTTTGTGTGTACAAAAATTAGCTAAATCTTATTGCTTACTGGTCCTTAAAACATTCTTTAAAACTATGTGGGACTCTTGAATGTGTTAAGTGTATTTTACTGGTATACGTACAAGTCAATCAGAAGTGATACCTGTGCAGACTAAGAATCAGTTCCATGATTTTATTTTTCTAGTTTAGGCTTCTGAACTGCTGACATGTCTGCTATGGGGCAACATAGGCGAAGTTTGAAAACCAGATTCCCCTGCCGTCTAATACCTGCATCTGAGGGAAGCACGGTGAGCGGGACATCTTTGGTTTCAATTTTTACAGAAGGCTCCAATAAGGATTGCATTTTAATAGGCACTGGTGTCAGGGGAACCTTGGTCAACCTTATCAGCTCAGAAGGTGGAGGTCCCTGAAATTGGATCCGGGCCCCCGGGGAGACAGTGTGGAGAGTCAAAGGGATCCTGAGGTCCTGCTGGTGCGGCCCAAAAGCACTAGACGGCTGGGCTAGGATGACCTCCTTGCTGCCATGGCCCAAGCCATTGGAGGCCGGTTCCGCGCCCAGCCTGCAGTCCTCCAAGAGTCTCTCGGGCTCCTCAGTTTTGATGACTCCTTCTCCGACAGCTGTCAGGCTTTTGCCTTCCCTGCCTTTTGCTGCATCCATCAAGACCTCCTCGGCCTCCAGCTTGCCCTTCTTCTCGTCTCCTCTGCGGCTGTCGAGGGCCAGCCCGGTGCCTTCCACTTTGGCCGCTCTGCAAGCTCTAGGGCCCGCCTCGACCGCCCTCCGAGGGCCGGTAGACGGGTCCAAGGCGGGTCCCAGCTCCTGCTTCTCCGCCTTGATCTGCAGCGCCCGCGGCTGCACCGGACGCAGCTCGGGCCTGCAGGGGGCGCCCTCGGACGCGGGAGGAGGCGGCAACAGCAGCAGCTCCGACCTCAGCTGCAGCAGCCGCGCCTGCGCGGGCGAGACGGCGGCGCCTTCGTCCTGGGCCTGAGGCAGTAGTGGCCCCGGCGGTAGCAATAACACCTGCTCCGGCTTCACCTGAAGCAGCCGCCTTGCGGTGGACTGGACGCTCGACGCCGGGGCCTCTCCGCACGACGAGGCCACCGTCGCAATGGCGGCCCCGCACGGGGCCGGCGGCGACGGAGGAGGCTCGGCGGCCGCCGCCCGAAAGGCAGTGCCCTCGACCGGCAGCGGGGGCGGAGCGGGGCGCAACCGGCGAGGTGGGGTCGCCCGTGGCAGTTGGCGCGGCTGAGGCGGCGGCTCCGGCCTGGCTCTCTCCATAGGGGGGAGGGGGGCGCCCCGGCCTGCGCCCGGCCGGGATTGTGAGCTCAGCCGTTTGTTGGCGACCTTCCCCCTCCCCCTTTCGGTTAAGACCCTTCCAAGGCCTTTGCTACCCAGAACTCTACGCGGTTCAAAATGCAGCCTCCGTCTCAGCCTCGTCCAATCGGAAGCGTCCCGCCGCCCCGGGCACACCAATCGCAGGCACGTTCTTTGGCTCCTCCCGCCTTTCGCTCTTGCCTCGTGCAGAAGCCTCGAATCACCCGAGATAGCCGGAGCAGCAGCACGTGTTCCCCATTTTCCCCCTCTGACTCTCCCTCTCTCTTCCGGAGTTCTCTTCCGGCCGTTGTCCTTAGTTACCCCTCCCCCGCCGGGAGCACCGACAATGGCGTTGCCCTGGAGACGGAGCTGTTCCAAGCTACTGACCTCCAGGGATAAAGCCGTGAACCTCCTACGTGGGCTGGGAACGAGGCCTTGTGCCTGCGCTTTGCAAGGACGACGGTGAACATCGACGGGACGTCGGGATCCTCATCGAGGAGGTGTGGGGGGAATTTCCAACTTCTCAGTAACCCTATTTGTTGAAAGCTTGGGGATGACATTCAATTTACTGTGGTTATTGTGTTATGAAACTTTCAATTGCCAGGTCTTTTGGGCCCTATTTCCCGAATACACACCAAAGTCATCCGTTTCTTTGGGGCTTCATGGCTGTTACCCCATTTTAAGCTTCCACCATCTTTCACCCAGATCCTTCCATAGTCCTATAAATAGTCTTGCTTTTCACTCTTGTCCCACTACAGCTGCCAAAGTCCTTTAAAAGTACAAATCTAGTCAGTCACATCATTTCCCTATCTGTAGCTTCCCACTGTCCACGTGTCCAAATTCCTTGGCAAAACCTTTTAAGTGTCCAAATGTCTTGGGCTTTACCTCCTATTATTGTTCATCACTCCAGCTCTGTGTGCTTCAGCCATATCCTCCCCTGCCCCCTTATCATTGTTACATACCACAGGTCCTTTTTACATACCCAGGATGCTGTTCCTCCCTTGGTATCTTGGTATCTTGGTAGCTCAGTCGAATTTCCTTTATGTACTCATACCTCCATCACTTCCTTTAAAGGGCTTATCACAATTGGTAATTATATATTTCTTTATGTGACTGTACTGCCTCCCCCACTTGGCTATAAAACTTCCTTAGGGCAGAACTGCTCATCTTTTGTGCAGCATTGAATCCTCAGTGATTACCATTAAGCCTGGAATACAGTAAGCATTCAGTAAATACTCGATGAACAAATGAGAACTTCCTTTATTAAGGTCTTCCTTTTTCTATGGGCACTATTTCAGTCATTTCTATGTTTATTCCTTCTTTTAGGATTGCATTTATATTTCCATTACACATCAAGAGAAAGAGAAATCTGGCATTAACATTTGCTACATTTCTCAACTAAAAGCTACAGATTTATTTTGCAGTAGATGATTTTTGCAACCATGATATTTCTCAAAGAAGACCAACTCTAATTCTCTATAGTCCTCTATTGCTAAATATGGTGAACAGAAGTTTTTAACACCTACAGGCAGACAAGGGCAATGGTTTTTTTTGAGCATTTTAATCTCAGGAACCCTTTACACCCATATAAACTGTTGAAAATCCCAAATGTTTTTTTTTTTTTTGGTGTGGATTTTATCTGTCAATATTACCATATTATGAAAGGAAAAAAATTAAAGTTAGCAGCTCATTTAAAATATCAATCCTTTACGTGTTAACATAACACATTTTCATGAGGGGAAAAGTCCAATTTTTTCACAGAATAGCATTGTGGATCTAATGTATGGCTTTTAAAAATAGTTGGATTCCCACATCTTCTGCATTCGTTTTCTTATGATTCCCATCATAGATCATTTAGGCTTTGGGAAACTTTATTGTACACTCATGAGATGATGAAGAAAAAATAACAAATATTATCAGAACTATTATGCGAATAGTCAATCTAGCAAACTCTCTGAAAGGGTCAGTCCCTATGGCACTTTGAGAACTACCCAACTAAAGTTTAAATGAAAAAATGGGTTGTGGGCATAAGCAGAGGTTGACAAGAGAGGCAAATAAATCAAGTTACTTTGGATTTTCTTCAATGTTGTAGTTTATATTCCAATCTGATTTGCTGAAAATAGGTTGACAATGCATGCATGGATTGATTTCTGAACTCTATTCTGTTCCTTCCTTCTATATGCCTATCTTTATTCCAGTACCACAGTCTTTATTACTGTAGCTTTATGGTAAATTTTGAAATTAGGTTATTTAAGTTCTTGAACTTTGTTTTCAAAATTACATTGGCTTGGGCTGGGGTTGTGGCTCAGCGGTAGAGGGCTCACCTCGCATGTGGGAGGCCCTGGGTTCAATCCTCAGCACCACATAAAATAAATAAATAAGTGAAATAAAGGTATAAAAAAAGATAAGCTTTAAAAACATTTCATTGGCTTTTCTCAGTCCTTAACATTTAAAATGTAAACATTAGGATTCTTTTATCAATTTAGTCTGGTATTTAAATAGGAATTGTATTGAATCTGTGGATCAATTTTAGGGAAGCTGTCAACTGAAAAATATTGAATTTTCTGATTTGCAAAAGTGGAACCTGTCTTCATTTATTTAGTTCTTTATTTTTTTAAAAGAGAGAGAGAGAAAGAGAATTTTTTAATATTTATTTTTTAATTTTTGGTGGACACAACATCTTTTTTATTTTATTTTTATGTGGTGCTACCGCTTGAGCCACATCCCCAGCCCAAGTTCTTTACTGACARTGTTTGATAATTTTCAGTGTACATTTCCACACTTGCTTTCATTAAATATATTCTTTTATTCTTAATTATTTTGGATGCTCTTACAAATGTAATTATTTGCTTATTTTCATTTCTTATTTATTTTATATTGATTTGGGGGGCAGGTATTGGGGATTGACCTCAGGTACACTTTACCTACTGAGTTACACCCAGCCCTTTTTATTTTTAATTTTGAGACAGAGTCTCATTAAGTTGCTGATGGTCTCACTGAATTGCTGAGGCTGGCCTCAAACTTTGTGATCTTCCTGCCTCAGCCTCCTGAATTGCTGGGATATATTGATTTTTGATTTTTATTTTCTTGCCTTATAGCACTAGCTGGAACCTCCAGTCTAATGTTGAACAAAATTGATGAGAGTAAACATCCTTGCCTGTTACGAGCCACAGCAAAAATATTGATACAGGCACTTTTGGATTTTATGACTGCCAGCCAGCAATTCACATTCATATGGTAATTGGACTCATGCTGTCTAGCTGGGCCCATTTTCAGGACTCAGGTTACTCATGTCACTCTTGTAATGGGAGAGTTCCCATTGGTTGGGAAAGGATGGTAGGAGGGTGTTCCGGGGGAAGGGGAAACCCCCCGGCTCAGGTAGAACACACACGTGGCGGACCCACCTGTTAG